GTAGCATATCTCCTCAAACGTCCGGAATTACAAATCCTTTGTACATATTTACGATTTTACATTTTTGCATCCTGGTGTTCCTCATTTTCCTTTGATCATGTTTTTCAGAGATCTTTGATATCTACAAAAGAGTGGAGCAAGACAACGTTAATTGATTATTACCAAAGTCAATGCCTTAAATCAAACACAAATCACCACTTAATGCCAAGAGTTTTGAACATTTTGCGATTGATTGTTACAATCATTATTTAAGTCATGTTTCTCTATGATTAGATAGCTTAAAATTCCATCGATCACCATGCATGCATCTCTTTTACAGAGCGCAGCGAATAAAACTGATGTAGAATTTTTTCTTATTCCTGTATAGTTGATTATTTTTGTTGAGTCGTCTGATGTTATGATTCTCTTGTAAAGGTTACAACAATTGTTCGCCGGTATTTTGGATTGATTTCCCTAGGCCTATAACCCCATGCTATTCTAAAACAAAGCCGTAGCCTTGGAATAAATGCAGGAGACTACCATACGTTATATGATAAGCTGAAATACGCACAAATATCGTAAATCGAATGTTTATTCGGCTATCAGCCGAGCGATCATCGACAAATACAAATTACTAGTCCTACGCTAAATCATTGTTTGTCAATGACTTTTATTTAAGTGATGACTCCTAAAGCAGCCGTCGTATTTTGTGATAACTTCAAGAATGAAGTGTTTATTCGTCTTCTTCTTTGCTATCGGTCTCAAACTTGTCGTCCAAGGCCATTTCATTGTCGGCAATTTCAGGTATGTCATTGGTATAGATGTTATTATCTTCTGTGCAGTCGAGCGTGTTCGAAATCCTGCATGTTTCAAATGATTTCTTGGAGCGTGGGCAGAATTAATATGCAAGCCTCCAAACAAACGCGTTGGTGGTAACGTCAATTAGTGGTGATAATTTTAGAATTATCCCATCCAATTGCATAGTTAGTTTGGCATGTGTGCTCCGATAAAGCTGAATTTTTCTTTTTGTAAAAGAAAAACGCATTTTGATGCTCTTTCAAACGTGTACCAAACTGACGTTTGGTCTGTCCGATGTATTCGTTGTCACAGTCATTGCAAGGAATAGAATAAATGGCATCGGTTCGTTGTTCTTTCGAGTCAGGATCCTTAGGTTTGACGAAAATATGCCCCAAAGACTGAAAAGGTTATTGAGCAACTTTAGCGTTCTGGCTATTCAAAATTCTCTTGATGGGGTCCGTAACACCCTGAATGTAAGGGATGACAGCAGAACCAGTCGCTGGTTCCCTTTCATCAAGAGATTTACTAGTTGTAACTGGATTTTGGCAGTTACGGAGAAAGGTTTTTGTAAAGCCATTTGCTTTTAGGACATTATTAGCATATTTCCTCTCCTCAGTCTTCGAATCGAGTGAAGATGGTAGACAGTCAGCCCTCCTGAGTAAGGTTTTGGCTACAGACTTTTTTTTATGGCAAATAGAGTGGAAAGCGAGGTATTTGTCGGTAGGGGTAGGTTTATGGTAGACAGTTGTCTCTAAATTACCCTGAACCCCTCTGGACACATTTAAATCAAGAAAGGGAAAATGTCTATCTTTTTCACGCTCTAGGATGAATTGGATCGACGGCTCTACTGAATTCAAATGCGATAGGAGGTTCTCCGCTTCATTTCCGGATACCGCAGAAAAAATTTTAATCGACATATCGTTTATTTCATTCATTTCCTATTTCGGTATTGCGGAATTTATGGTCGTTATTTGGGCATTTTTCACTGGCAAAGCTGAGTACATAACTACAGCAAAAGTTGTTGCGCAGTAGATACCACAACTGTAGAACACTGAAGTGAAGACAATCGTACTAAGCCATGCCGAATCATTTCAACCTGGAGGAGTGCGAAAGATTCCTCCACGACGAAAACCAGTTTAGTCCAGGAGCGTCGAAACGCATTGAAAAATACCTTCAAATTTCTCGAGAAGGCCTGGACGAGTTTTTGATTCGATTCCCAGAGATGATTCGAAACGAAGATCAGTTGTTTTACATCGTGCGATTTGTGAGGGTGCATCACAAGTTCGACACGCAATATCACGAAAGAATTTTCAACAGTAACCTGTTTACAACTATGGAGAGAAAAGTGACGGAGCTACTCGCTGTTGTTGAGCAAAAAGACCCCCACACGTATTGGTATTTGATGCATGCCCTGCAGTCAAAACATTCCTCTTTGTATGAGCATCTCCACGGATCTATAAAATGTTGTGGTACGTAGAAGATTTGTGATTGCAGGCCGAGTTTGAACGTTTATCATTTGGTGAGATATTTTGGTCCCGAAATTCATGATTCCTTTACCTTCGCAATGAATAATTTTACTTCGAAATATTGACGTCATGGGCAATTTGTAATGCACGACTTACATGATTCTTGTTATATTTGTTGTTATCTTCGACAATTACGATATTTTGGGGTCTTGCTCTATATCATGTTATCCAGTTCTCTGTTTTCGAAATTTTTCCTTCTAATTCTTTTCTGAATGCAGATTAATTATCGGTTATAAATTGCCTATCTTTAGCGCGCAACAAAATTAACATCAGTCTGTTGCCAATATACATAAGTAACGACAAGTGCATGTGTTGTTCCATATTTACGTACGGGCAATGGTTGCATTTTAGAACGTCAACGAACTCTGAATCAAATAATGAATTTTG